CATATATCAAATATAATATATTAGCTATCGTTGTTACCCAGTAAATACATTGAGACTGAAATGAAGATGTATGTATTGTCATGGCTGGGGACAACCATTTGTTTCACACTGTCCTGGCAAATGGCACCGTGGATGTGCCACTAACATCTATATACTTAGCTGTGCTTCAGGCTGACCAAAATTAGCCAGTAGCACTTTTGTAAAACCCATTATAGTGTCTAGTCTGTACGGATGTCATGGCGTCAAAGTGATTCACATGACGTCACCATGACGTCAATGCCGTTAACTCAACAGACACCTACATTATCATGTTAAAGCATCCATTGTTTCTTGCTTATCAATGATGGCTAATCAAAGTTTACACAGGTTGCTTTTAAGAATGGCATTTGCTTACTTTAATGCATCCTTCTTTCAGTTTAACTGCTGTGGAGGAGAAAGAGGTGTTTTCGATTATCGCATCATAAACATAACCACGGACAACTGTACACCAGAGAATCACTACAAGGTCAGTTGTTTGACTTGACTTTCCGTGTGTTTTTGATGAGTGCCGACGTACCACCGATGGGACAAAATCTGTCCAGATTTGCGAGAACGTCTGCTCGCATTAGCTATTTGATGGTGATTACTAAACATATATTTTTGATAGAGTGGGAATCGTACACTGATTTGAGCAGACATGTTTCTTGGTCTTTTTTTGTTGGGCAGGTATATTGACCACTGGAACATTTGCAAATAGAATAACATGAAAAAAAGACTAATTTCCTTTGCTTTTGTGGAGATTTCAACCAAAATGCCCTGGTGATACATCGACTTGTTTCGTTCAGTTTAATGATAACGTTTGCTTCTATCTCTAGCCTTGCGCTGACGAGTATATAAAACAGTTGACCCCCGACGTTGTCCTGACGATCGGAGTCGCCTTCGGTGCTGCTGCTGTTATGGTGAGCATCGTCTTAAAAGAAGACAAATGTTTTAGAACAATGGCATGTACTGGCATGCAATTTCAAACAGATACTTGATTAACATGCTTGACAAGAGTGGAACAGACACTCCGAAGTAACACAGGGTAAATAAATTTGAATACATTCTGAAGATTTTGACAAATGGGTGTTAGGCAAGGGTGGATAGTAAGTCCTTTCTTATCTACAATATTCATTAACGAGCTGGCAAAAGAAATACAACATTGGTGTAATGGTGGCATACAATTACATAAAAAATGCTATTAGAGGCATTGTCATTTAAGCTGTCCTTCTAAACATGCAAAGGGCATCGGTAAATATTAGACAACACACTTTTTCCTGATAATCCGAGGATATAACTGAATATATTTTTCTTTCATATCGCAGGTTTTAGGAATGAGTTTGTCGTTGATATTCAGCTGTGTAATACGGAGGGCAGGATATTGATGGAACACAGAGGTCGAGAGAAGAACAATGACTTGGTCTTTGACGACGTCGTCAGGCAACAACAGTTGTGTTAGACTGGTTCATTTCTGGAACATTACTTCCAATATCATAATTTCTGCAACCAGAAACGAACACCTACTAACACATAACATGTTTGAAACAGTGGACTAGTGACACGTCAGCAATATGTTAGTCACAGTAGTTTAATGATTTGGGTCAACTTCACTCACATTTAACTTTTTTAAAGAGCGAAATATCACTAATATTTGTTCTCACGTCTGAAGTTTTGCTCTTATTTTGAGTTCTAGGTACAAAACATCCATTTGTATCATTGTTGTAGCGCTATATATATTAAACTAGATAATAGTAATATTCATCATTGCCCCCAGAGCAAACATTTCACTCGTGCTGTTGTTATGGAGTGTCCAGGTTGTGTAAATATATCTATGGTCATGTGGTGACTTAGCTCAGGATGACGCAATAATGGAAAAATACGGTACTTACAATTCTGAAATAGTCATAAGATCTTATGACTTTTTTATGCAGTTATTAACTGTGGTTTCGCAGTGTCATCGACGATGCAAAATTCAAGCAATTGCGAAAGCAGTAAATAGTTTAAACAAAATACACAGACAATAGAAAACCATAAATACTGAAGGTATTTTATGTATTGTGACAGGGCCATCGCGATCATTGACATTATTCTGTGCATGTATTGATGGATGTTGTGTATTGGAATAAAATGTTTTTCTTTAGAATCCAGTTGCATGTTATAATCGCACAGAATAGGCAGTGATTTGTTGTGTATGAAGTGTTTTTTGATGTGAAACCACTCACGATTTTACATACCCTCCAGCATTCACTACAACAAGTACTGCTACTGTATGCTATACATCCATTTCGGAGAATTCTGCCTTACTCGGTTTAAAACGGGTTGTATTCCTGACAAAGGTACCAAACCGAAGGCACCACGAGCAATGTAGACAACTTGGTACTTGAGAAGCAAGCGTGACATTTCGTGAAGTCCGCAAATTTTCCGTATTTCTCCTGAAAATCATTATTCTCAATAGTGTCATGAAAACATGAAAACATACACATAAACTCACCAAGATTTCGTTTAATGCCACTTGAACTGCATGTCAGTTATATCAATACGTTTCAGCGTGATAAAGGGGGATAGGCCGACGATATACCGATATTAGACCTTTGCCACTATGATGAAACCTATATGGTTCTGGAACACAATGTGTTCGGTATTTCAATCCATGACATAATGATTCATTATATAAATACTATAGATAACACAATGCAGTACACAAATGCAGTATAGTTATCACAATGGCGTATTAACAGCATACAACTAAATCATGATGACATGATTTGAACATTAGTTTGAATAGTTTTTGCTCACCAAAGACAATTTCCTAACGATTATATTACCAGTCAGTCAATGCATTCAAACTATATTACTCACACTTTGCTAAGGATCATAAAAATACGCAACTTTACTTAAACGTAGATATATAATCTGAAATGGTATCAATTTAAAACTGGTCAAATAATGATATAGTAACACATATACTCTCCCAAAAAAGAAGCCCAGCATGAAAATAACAATTTCATGTAGCAATTAATTAAAACGTGAGTCATTTTACAAAAGGTTTTGCTCTGTTTATGAGTCCTATGGTGTTTATGTTTTGAAACATCACAACAAAACGCACCATCCGTAAAATACCCGTATTTAACAGCATGATTTTCAATTTCGGCGTGTAGTGTCACAGAATACACAATTCACATGCAATGCACGTGAAAGTTGGGGATCAGATAGTCTCAATGATATGGGTATAAAAGGTTGATCGCTGTCTGTCGATTATTCACTGTATGTGGAATATTGTTGACGAACGCAAAATGCCACGTCTAAGTGAAGCCAACCGTCATTGGTTTGCTTGAAGCTGGCCAGTCTCAACGTGCAGTTGCCCGTAGCATGAATGTACACCAAAGCACCATTTCACGGCTCTGAGAGAGATATCGCCGGCCGAATGTGGTAGCAGATGCCCCTCGTAGTGGGCCTCGAGTGACCACTGCGGCGAAGGGTCGCTACATCCGGGTACTTCACCTGCGTCATCGAACAGCTACGGCGACCAGTACCGCTCGACAAATACCCGGATTGAGGAGGCTTTCTGCACAGACCGTCAGGAACAGGCTGAGAGAGGCTGGTTTACGTGCCAGAAGACCTTATTTTGGCCCTGTGCTTCGACAACAACATCGTCGACATCGAGTTCAATGGTGCACCAACGTTCAGGCCTGGAACCTACCGAATTGGCGTAGAATCTGGTTCAGTGATGAATCACGATTTCTATTGGAACGACGCGATGGAAGAATGCAGGTGTACAGACGTCGACGTGAACGTTTCGCCGACGCTTGCGTTCCCCAAGTGGACAGATTCGGCCGGGGAAGTGTTATGATGTGGGGAGCGATCACCTGCCGTAGGAGAAGTGATTTGGTGATGATCCAGGTCAACCTGACAGCTCAACGGTACTGTGACGAAATCCTACGCCCACACCTCCTTCCAATCATTGATCGCCAGAGGGAGTTGTTTCAACAGGACAATGCCTCCAGAACCACAACATCAATGTGCTCCCCTGGCCCTCAAGACCACCGGACTTAAACCCGATCGAACATCTGTGTGACACCCTGGACAGACGGGTGCGTCGCCGTAACCCTCAGCCCCAAACACTTCAGCAACTCGCACAGGCACTACAGGCAGAGTGGGCTGCGATTGGGCAACACGAGATTCTGAGACTTATTCGTTCGATGCCGAGGCGATGCCGTGCAGTTCTGGATGTCCACGGTGGTCACACGAGGTATTGACTTCAGCGCCACCACACGTCTCCATGTGACACTCAAACTGACTTTCCTCGAGTTGGTGCCAAAGACGGATAAGTTTGCATTCCCAGTGTGCAATTTCGCTATATTTCATTGACTCATAAAGCCTACAAGATGTTTCAAAATAAACATAAAAATACAGTTGAAATTCCTAGATGCGTTTCTTTTTTTGGAGAGTATATTAGGAAAATAGCCACTCTAAGCTAACCGTATGCACGTGATACATGAGTAACCATAAAAATGGCTTTCATGGCACCAATGAACCATTTTGCAAATCATGGCACGGGTCTTTGACAAGTACGAACACCTGTCAATAGCAGGTATGGGATCCACAAGATGCAATGAAACCTAGGATCCATGTTTACAATAGGCTTAGATATTTAAACCAAATTTGACCCCATATCATAGTTTTCTGTTGAATCAATGCTTTGATCCCTAGCAAAGTGTGAATAGTATATGTAGAAAATAAACAAACAAAAACAAACGCAGGCTTTCGGTCATTCGTCACCACTCGCCCATTTGCTATTCCACCTGTCCCGGAATAACACGAGTTGGTCACGAATGGCTTTCGGTTTGATTAGTTCTATTCACCTCAGCACACGCAATATATAATGAGGATAATTATATAGATGCTTGTATGTTATATTTCATATTATTAATATTTCATTCAGGCGCAATAAATCCATAAATCAAAATGAAAACGAAAGTAGGGTTTGCCATTTGACTCATATCGAACACGCGTCACACAACACACGTCAACCAGTCACAGCCCAGCAACTTGTCTACACAAGGAGTCTTACAGCCACAGAGAAAGGTAGTGTTTGTTGTAACGAAGTTATCTTGACATTCAAACTAACGTATGACTGACACCTGTATGTGCATGTACATTCTGATATTGTCTTCTACCAGCTGTGACCGTTCTTTGTCCACAGGACAACGTATAGGACATACTGGTGTACCGTTAATCTGCATACGTGAGGAATACTAAGCAGCAGGATGTGTTCTGGGGAAAGAATTAGTTGCATCAAATATTTGATGTACGCATTCAACATTCTGTTCTTGGTGAGTTTAATGCTGTTCTTGTGTATGTCCGTTATGGGGATATCCAGTTCCCTAGTCTAGCGTGTTCTGAATGTTAACGTACGGTCTGGTTCCTGGTTCCTGGCATGCATAACTGTTCTCAATAACAACGTATGCTACATCTGGCATCATCACAAATGTTTCGACTATAAACAAGTTTAACGTCATATGAATTCTTCCTTCCAAAACCAACAAAACGATAAGTGAATTTTACAGCGTTTCTCTCAATATTGATTTTTTTTACACGGAAGTATTATCAGTATGGGCCCTTTATGTACTGAATATAAACATATTATGCTAACGGATCCCATATTATTCTGCACATGATCGTATTTCTTCTGGGTCCTGTAATACATAATAATAAAATGTATTGTGTGATACGTACAGGTGTATTTGCGCACCAGATCTATTAATAGGGTTGGGATTTCCGGGTTGGGAGTTTTCCCCAGGAATCGTTCATACCAAGTAACGTAATGAACAGAACACTACGGTCGGGGACGATGTTATATAGTGTCAACGTTTAAGAGTATGGTGACAATCGATGTGCACATTACTCATTGGATTGTTTAGTCAAGCCATCTTTCTTTCAGGTCGCTGTTATTTAAATGCACTAAATTATAAATTACAATCTCACTCCAACCCGTGAGTAGTATATCGGGGTGTTATCAATATGTCGACAAAAAACGACATAACTATTTCTGTTCGATCGATAAAAGCATACTGATATTTGTAAGTAGTAATGATAAGTAGGTATAGTGTATATGTGATGACAAGTGTCCTATTCAGCAATACAAAGCAGACACGCCAGTGCATTAATCGTTCGAACAGGTTTTACTTATCGATCTGAACTACGGATAACAACAATGATTCAGTTTAAAGAGCGGTGGACGTCGGTTGGGTCACGTTGACCTATTCAATCAATACAACTGACTGCCGCCCGGACAACGTGCATCAATAAAATATTTGTACCCATCTTGAATAAAGTTTACAGTGATCTTAATCTGTGTGATCACAATGTTGAATATAAGCTACTAAAATCTTTTCACATCCCCCAAAACTGTATCAAGAGCAGGATCGATTTACGATATTTGCCATATCATACTGTTGCATTTTTGAATCACTCCCGAAAAAACCCACCGTATCCTGTCCAACCGGTGGCACCCGTCATAAACACATGCTAAGGCTAGACAATTGTTGAATAGAAATAATTCGGGAATGTATGGTGTACTTAAAATAGGGAATTGGATCAATTCTGCCACTGATGCCTACGTGTCCACCATTAAACTTTTTGAAAGCTTCAGGATTTGGATGCCGAACATATTCTGAACATGAGTCAAATGTTTTCTTATTAAATCTTGGTCAAAAGACCATTCTAGATTGTTCCTTTTAACTTATGAAATGTAAACACCAAAGACTGGAGCTGTTAGAAGACTGGTCGATATAAAGAGAAAGTTGACAATTGGAATTGTTAAAGTTATACCTCCTGTCACACAGTCCTGTTGAGAGTTTGTTGTCACTCTGGATTTGTCATGCATGGATCTTAATACTTAAATCACTAGACGGTATCCATGGTCATTACAAGTTCAGTGGGGTAAATCAGTGGAAGGGAATTGGCTGTTTGGTAGTTATTGAACGATATCAGATCATCGATGTAAAGCTTGAGTTAAACTTCTTGTTGAAATTACGTTATTTTGACTCGCGCTGAAATCCTGATTCATATACTAGTACATCAAAGAACAGAACTATAAGGAGGGGAACACTGGGGATTCCAATCTCTTTTCTACATGTTTTACTGACACTTTTACACTCTGTCAGATCTTCTGATAAAAGTGCCGATTAAACGAGACCTCTCATTCACTCAGTCGCTTTAAATGTAATCATTTTATCCAAATAGCGATGGAATGACCTCTATAGAAGTGATGAAATAATGTAATATGTTCTTATGTCTTATGTTTTAGAATTGATCATTGTTGGCAATATCTGACTCAAGGCAATGTTGGCAATATCTGACTCAAGGCAATGTTGGCAATATCTGACTCAAGGCAATGTTGGAAATATCTGACTCAAGGCAATGTTGGCAATATCTGACTCAAGGCAATGTTGGCAATATCTGACTCAAGGCAATGTTGGCAATATCTGACTCAAGGCAATGTTGGCAATATCTGACTCAAGGCAATGTTGGCAATATCTGACTCAAGGCAATGTTGAGATCCTTGTAGCATTCGCTCTGTTTTGTCTAATGCATCATTTCATTTCAGATTCTTGGGCTTGGGATTGTAGGATTTGGAATCTGATTCGGTTGACCCAGACGCTGGTGAATACATAAACGAGTCTGTCGATTTTAACGCGTTACTGACAGCCTCCAGCATTTTCATCAGCATCGGGTGCGTCATCCTCCTTGTCGGCGTTGTCGGAGTTTGTGGAACAATCAGAAGGAGCCAGTGCCTTCTTGTTGTGGTGAGGTCACTTCCTGTTTGATTACCCCGACCACATGGGTCGTCGCTCATAATATCAATCACTAGACTTTCTTGTCCAGACTCGCTGGCCTGATTTGTATCTGGAATATTGCTAAATACGGCGTTAAAAATAACATAAAAAATATAAGCAAGCAAAAAACAAACAAAATGAAATTTAGTTGAAAGTGGTGTTCAGTTCAACAACTCGTTGTGATATGAAATATTATTTAAAAAATGTTTCAATGTATGTTTTCATATTTTCAGTTTTTCATCAGTTTGTGCATCGTATTTGTGGTTCTTCTTGCGGCTGGAGTGATTGTTCTCATCCAGATGGATAACGTATGTATACCAGCAGCCTCGAGCTCATATAACTCATTATTATTATAGCCACACCATATCCTTAACAGCTGGACGAAGCAAATTGCCCAGGCATCAGTGTAAGATAGGCGGCATCACTTGCCGTTTAAGCCTTACCAATTCGCTGTTCAGAGTTGCGTCCCTTGTGCATGCCAGGATGTAATTATCATAGAGTCGAATCCCATGCCCAACCTAATATTAAACTAAAGTACGCTGATTGGTTTCATGAAGTTGAAACTGGAGAAATTTTCAGAGCGGAGTTAAACAAGATTCACTTATAAAACAATACTGTGTTTCTGTACGTATGTGTAGTGACTTAAAAAGTCACTCACTTGCACATTATGTTATCTGCTTTCACTTTCTTGACAGGTGAAAGACGCATTCGGCAATTACCTCCAGAGCAAAGTTAATGTCTACAAGGGCGACACAGATGCCAAACTCTTCATACATAACTTCCAGGAAGCGGTAAGACACTGCACTTACGGGTACCCTTTAATGGCATCATAAAATAACGAAATAGTGGTTCTTAGATATTTAAATCTTGATGGAATATTTATAACATGGGATCATATCTCCCAGATTTATTGACGTAATTGCTATCCTCTTAATAAAGATCAAGATCCCCACATGGGTACATTGTGTGATGCCCATTTCTGGTGTCCCCCGCTGTGATATTGCTGGAGTATTGCAAAAGGCAACGGAAAACCACTCACTCACTCACACATAAAGATCGAGAAACGTCACACCGGGAAATGAGACCTATAACATTTGTTGCAGTTCCATTGCTGTGGAGCCAAATCTGGAATTTCAGATTATCCTGTTGACACCTTAACTGAAGTCTCCTGTAAACTTGAGACTTATCAGAAGGTAAGTTAACTCCTTTACAGAAATCCAACCCGCATGACAATCCGGCTTTGAAAATGAAAAGGGGACATTAATATTTTAATTATCACTTTTAGTTAATTTTAATTACCCGACGTTTCTCCGGATAAGCCTGCGGATTTACAGGGTCGAATATCGAATTGACAAGTTCCAAGTGCGTGATGGATGATGTTTCACGTCCAGCAGTATGACGTCAGTCAGTAAATATTCTAAACTGGGATATGATTGAATATGAAACGAACTACGCAATCGGTTTAGGACGACATTAGCAGTGTAAGAATCTACATCGACGTCGCTCTATGCAATAAACAAGAAGTTGTCATCCATAAAGTCATGTGTCTCATTATTGACTCACCGATTTAATGCCGATCAAACAATTAGCGAGGTGACCGAGCCATGCCACCTAATCCACACTGTTGTCAGATCTCACGTGTATCGGGTACCTTGGAACTTCATATGAATATGTTTGACTTCAGCATAAAAACTTCATCAATTGAAATATTATCAAAATGTTTTTAAAGCTCTGGGGTTTTTGAGGCTGAACTCCTCACTTTGTGGAAATCTTTTGTGTTAAACATTGACAAATTCTCTCATTTCTAGCCTTGTGCCGAGGAGTTTTTCAAAACACTGGCACCGAACCTTGGTAAAACGGCGGCAGTGGCATTTCTTGGCGCTGTTATTATGGTGAGTAAAGTTTATCTATCTATCTATCTATCTATCTATCTATCTATCTATCTATCTATCTATCTATCTATCTATCTATCTATCTATCTATCTATCTATCTATCTATCTATCTATCTATCTATCTATCTATCTATCTATCTATCTATATCTATCTATCTATCTATCTATTTGCACAAATGTCTGATTGTAAAATAAAACATTCACAGCTATGTATTCCAGATTCCCATCATAGTATATACTGAAACAGTTGCGACTCATGGTAAAAAAGGGCATCGCAAATCGTTGAAGTAAAAATGTTCACTGTCTATTTTAAATCGATAGGTTTGAAGACTGCATACATTTTCAGTTCAGTGGTGCATGTTTATCGATTGACATCCGTTTAAAGCGTACCATCAAAATATAATAATAATAATAACTAGGATTGCCTCATGGGCAATACTGACGGTCTTCAGACTTCCCCATACACTCCCCGTGGCTGCCTTTACTTGTAATGCTTCGAGCGTCGATTTTAACTCGGAGTTACGGGTGTTTGAAGTGTTGAAGCCAGAACACTAATTGGTTTGACTGTAGACCTAAGAACAAAGGAGCTACGCCCTGTTATAAGGGGAACTATTTCTTTGGGCATTGGAAAACCAGGAAGTGGCGATTGTTGCTAGAATATACTGTCGCTTCCTTCAGTTATCTCACAACTGACAAAATGCGAAAATCATAATGTCCCTCCCTGTTTGTGGCGTAATTGTGGCGTAATTATTGACTTTTACATAACAATAATGTGCAGCAGAAATGTTCCACATTTCATTATCTACAGTTTGGTACCTTGAAAAATGAAATCCATTGTGTATTCGCAGAGCTGTGAACCCTACAAAAATGCGTTTTGACAAAATTGATAGACTTTCCAAAGGTAGTAACTCCGACACTATTCAAGATATCGACATGCCTTGAAGGGTTTAGGTAGTCCGAAGTGTGGGCTTTAAAACGATATATAGAACACGATAGTACTATATGCCGTTCTGGAGAAGAAGATTTTTTAAACACAGGCACCGTCAAAACGTGCGGAAATGTGAAAAATCGTAAAGGTTGTGTTTGTGTCGTAATTGTGACGTAATTATTGAATTTTACAAAATCATAATGTGAAGCAAAAATGAAATCCATAATGTTTTCGCAGAGCTGACATTTTTATGAACCATATCAAAATGCGTCTTAGAAAAATTAACCAAATTCCAAGGGTGATAACTCTTAAACTATTCAAGATATCGATATGCCTTTAAGGGATTAAGTAGTCCAGAGGGTGGGCTTTAATATAATATTTTGAACACGATTGTACTATATGCCGTTCTGGAGAAGAAGATTTTTGAACACAGGCACCGTCAAAACGTGAAAATCGACAAAAAATTCAGTTTTTATAAAATAACGGAAAATTTGACCTGCCTGCTAATTCCCCTATGCATTGAATCAACGGAGAAAGTATTGTCTACATTGAGTGAAAATTTGGTACATGTATCGCTTACAGTTTTGGAGATATTGACGTTGAAAGATTTCGACGTTTTGAGTTATCTGCCCCTACCCGAAGCCGGAAGTCGGATTTTTTTCGACTATATATCAATTTCAGCATAGAGGTTATCATCCCTGAAAGTTTCATGAAAATCGGCCCCGCGGTTAGGTCAGGAGAGCTGTTTCAAAATTTGTACAAATAATAAGAAGAAGAATATTCGGATAATAACAGTAGGTCTTCCAGACATTCGTCTGAAGACCTAATAATAATAATGTGGGTACTTATCTAGCGCTACATCCAGGTACTAATACCCGCTCATGGCGCTACGTACAATACTATAGGAGAAAAAAATAGTTAAAACTATTTACAGAGAGACAACTGAACATAGAAAGTCTAGTAACAGGCAAGACGAAAAAAAAGTGGGTTTTAGAGACGATTTAAATGTGTCCAAAGATTCAGCATCCTTGGTGTGAGTGGGCAAGTTGTTCCAGAGACCGGCGGCTGCTTGTTGAATGATCTTTTCCCATAGGATGGGAGTCGAACTTTAGGAATGACAAGTAGCTGGTGATTCTGGGATCGTAATGGTCGGGTTGGGATGTACTGACTGGTGTTTGTCCATGTAGAGCTTTGAAAGTGATAAAGAGAATTTTGAAGTCAATCCGGAATTTGACAGGCAACCAGTGTAGAGACATCAGTGAAGGTGTGATATGATCTTTCTTGGACTTGAGGCAGACGATGCGAGCTGCTGAATTCTGTAATTTTTGAAGTTACTGAAGCTGAGTTGAACTGATGCCAAAGTGCAGACTGTTGCAATAGTCGAGTCGAGAGAGTATAATAGATCGAACCAAAGAATGAGCACATTATGTTGTGCTGAGATTTCTAATGGAGCTGATGGTTCGCAGATAATAGTGACAGTTTTATATAGATGGTTGACTTGCGATTCCAAAGACAAACTGGCATCAAGATATACACCAAGATCCTTAGTGACAGGGGAAGGTTGAATGTGAGATGTTGAAATCTTCACATTGCAGATGGAGGTTTTCTAATCAATTGAAAGACTTCAGAGTAAACTGATTTCGATCAACATAGCTTCAAATATAATTGTTTATCTTTGTGAGCGTCTAAACCTAAATATTAGTGATTTAAAAAATATGACCATTAAGAGATTGATGGCAAATATCGAGATAATTCCGACCGTACTTTGTGTTTCCTTTACAGATTATAGGAATGGTTTTGTCTATGATGTTCTGCTGTGCCGTAAGGAAGGATTCGCCTTGAGGACGATAAGGCACAAGAGGAGTAACAGCGGTTGTCAATGACAACACCTCAGCACTTCATTCTGCTCCTTTATCCCATAGAAGAATCTTATCCTCTCTCAATCATTCTCTGAAACATTTCCAAAAGTATCATTTTCATACCATGATGTCATTTTTTTATTAAAACATAATAATCCATGAGTTAAAGGTGTGAATATTGCCATGAAATAAGGGACACATCTTGTGAATTCATGTGTAAGAAGTTATGTTTTCAACCTGGTCAGGAGTGGACTCTGTTTATATTTATTACATTTTAGATGTTTTTATTTATCATATCATCGTATAGTCTTGGTTCAATGAAATACTAGTATTATCAATACGTTTAATGTAAATGTGAAGTTTTCTCTACACAATTAGAACATGGAACTCAAATATGCATAAAACTCATTGATGTAAATCTGTAAATCGTTTCCCTCATTCACTCACCGATCCTTCCATCCATCCATCCATCCATTCACCAATATAATCACTCATTTTGTAGCTTCGAAAAGGAAAAGTGAGTGCAATCATTCATTAATCTATTTGACGAGGTCCTGAAAATTTCGATGATGACATAATGTTACAAATTAAGTGGAATCTAACAATAACTCTATATTGAATATTGCTTGGTTGCGTGTTTAGAAATAACAGTGATATTTGCATCATAAATACCAAATTCCTCGTTTGTTTTGAGGGAAATCAAATATCATGGCACAAATAAATAAGGGTCAATATCCAAAATGTGCACTGACTAGTAGATATTAATACCTGACCTATAAAGTCAATACGCTGAGGTTATTGGGAATTCCTATCACAAGTATCAGCTGGGCTGTGTTTTCGAATTCTAATGATATTCAAACAAAATGAACCTCTGGATTTGAATAACAATAAACTTCCTACATACATTGTAGGAACCTTCTGATCCGGAACCAAGTAAACGTTCATAGTTTCGGTCCTTTATGTCCGCTTCTCTTCTAACTATTGGTCATCACAGGTTAAACGTGGTCATGTAAAGAAAGTGTCTGTTCTCAAACTTTGTGTAGGTATTGCACAACAAGTTCCGTTGATACTGTGTACAGTTGGATTGAAATTGATATGATTGTACATGTATTTCGAAAAATCTATTTGAAGATCCACATTACAGTAAAGGGGTTGGGCTTGGGGCCTGGCGGATTGTCTCAACACTTGAGGAGAACGTTTTATTCAGACTTAGAACAGAGCCATCTTAACGGATTTATTGTGAGCTTGAAATAAATTTTTCGCTTGTGTCTTCTTAAAGTGTTGCCTTAATCCAAGGTAGTACAACGTGCACAATTTTAGAGACAAAACAATATTCTAACTAATAAAAAATGTCTGTTATAACATTCTATTCTGTTTGTTGTATGTAGACCATGGCGATCAAGATTCGAATAATCGCTACTACACTGTGAAGGCGTGATCACTCAGCAATCAGGTGCCTTCTCCCAGCTGGATTTGAAGAGGTAGCTGTCATCGCTATCAGTAGCTTTCACGTGTACATCAAGTAACATAGATACGCAGATGGCTCAGTCGCCCAAGCCAGATCTGGAGTTGCGGCCCTTAGGCGTGGCGATATCCACTCATCTCGAGTTGGAATGTCACAATCTCTGGATTTGACCACAGTGTCTGTTTGTTTTTTAGACAGCACTCACCAACATTCCAGCAACATGGCAGCTGTCGTCTGAGACCTAAATCAATAATTTCCTGATACTGAGTTTGACATACCGCGGCAGAGGTGAAATACTGTTCAAAGGGGACCTAAAACCAACTCACTCACTCTTACTTGCGACAACATACGGCCCCAGTGTTACCGAGTGTTCTGGTGTTCCTCAATCTTGTTGATGCTTGAACAGTGCTGGGGACCGGCGTAAAATCATACTGATTTACTGATTCGCTTTGTTGTACTATGCTGTTCTGTACTGAATATCAATCTTCTGTTAGCTTCCGGGTGAGGGAAGTAATCATTGAATCAATTACAGATGTAATATGCAATGTGCTTTGGCTTTGAATAAAGCAAGAAATACAAAATTACTGTATTTTGTTTATTGCAATAAGTAAACCGTCAAAAACACACGGATACAAATAGTGGAAGTGTTTCTGGGTGGATGGGCTGGAGGTCAAAGTTTGGTCAAACGAGGCATTAAAGAGTACCTCACGTATGTCACGGAGTGGCATCTTGACATGGGAGGAAGCCAGTGATGCCAGTCTCTGCAGTTTACCTCAGTGAACCCACGGATGTGATGCTGACTATCCTAGCAGCACAACCAAAGCACAACCAAAGCACAACCACAACTGTGGGATTCCAGTCACAGACTCATTACACACCTTTAGAACACACATCCTTTGTAATCCTTGATGTGTGGGGCATCAGATACATATTCATTTGTAGAGGCTCAGATATAAGGGCATACGACCAACAAATGACAAGCAAACGTACGAAACATAACTGGCAGTGTATAATTTAATGTTCATGACATGCTTATACACCTTCAAATATACAACATTTCAAATGTAAACAACAAGATAGATAGAAAACGCTGATGCTGCAATATAATGTACAATCCAAATAATTCACAATCATTATCAAAGCATATGTAGGGCTGTAGGTAGACAACGAATACACATTGTTAGAGAGTAAATGTAAATGCATAGTAAATGACAATCGTAAAGCTGTAAAAATAACATCATGTTCCGTCATCTCAACGCCAGCTTGACGTCTATCGCCTTCATATAAAAATACAAACAGAAAGTATAAGCATGCGATATATGGCGTATAAAATGGTTTACAAAATTGAGCTACTGCAGATTCAGTTACCAACTTACACCGTGTCACAAAACAACAACGTTCAGATTAAAGCCAAGAGTAGAAATGAAGTGATTTCTCGCTGAATCTAAAAAATATTTAATTTACAGCCACTATTATTATATTTATAAGCCACAGATCAAACATTTAGACAGATTTATAAGTATACATAGTGATTTAGATAGTGCTTAGACATAGTGACATATGTTTTGGACATACATACATACATACAAATACTTGTATAGCGCCAATATCCGTAAACCGCTCAAAGGCGCTTTGGCTCTAAGATGGTCTAGATATCACATAGAGTTGAAGTGCTTCAGCAAAGAGACACGTCTTTAGATTTGGTTTAAAAACAGCTGGACATAGTCGATATCGAACAATGGAATGTGTATTTAGCAGAGATTCCTTATGATTATGGAAAGGGTGTTGTAGTCTATAGTTATATTACTTGTCACATAAATCAGTAATTATTGTCATAGTCCTATACAAATAGAAATGAACTTCACCATTTGTTTTGTAAACATGAAGTTTAAGTCAGTAAAACCGTCAGATTGTGCCCAGGTGCCACCAATATCGTTGAGTATAACCTAACATGTTTCAGAATTCAAGGACTATGTTTGCAGCAGATATCTATTATCTTCATAGATAATAGGTTTGTAGGTTTTAAGGACATAATATGTCTACAATATTTGGTCAATAATGAAGCACATGACTTAAAAGAGAACAAATTTTTGTTGATTACATAGAGCGGCGTTTAGGTGTAGAGCCTTTCACTGTTTTCAAGCTAAAAGAATCTATACCGAAATGTCGCTCCGTGCAATAAACAAGAAGTTGTAACTCATTTAGCTGTGTGCTTCATTGTTAATCACATACAAAACATATAAAATTGTACAAAACATCGTACAAAACATATAAATAAACATTGTGTGTGCTTCACCATCAAAACATACACACAACATGCACACAAATGCACACTAGAATGCATGGACGAAAGACTAAGATATCCATACAGAGAGAGATTACTTCAGGAAAATAGCCATAGAAATGTTAAGGAGTCGAGATATGCTGAGTTCATTTCGTGGCTTGTTGTATCATTGTCGTCATGTCGTTGCTGACCCAGACGAGGATGTAGAGACCGTCGATGACAGCTGTGTACGGGTCTTGTGGGTCTGAGAGGGTTACATTAGATCTACATTGGCCAACAGGGGCCGGGAGGTTCAAGCAGAAGACCTAGAAATAGATCGGTGCTTTAGTGATGATGGAATTTTCCATATGAACTGAAAGAACTTAAATACAGAAAGAAGCACACCAATTCAACTATTGTATGATTCTTGGCCATGGGATCCCGGTTGCCAACTTGTCCACAGGCGCCGCAACTGACAGCACCGAGTTGCGTCTCTTTGGCAAGATAGACTCAAGTGATCGCGGGCGAGTTCCATGTTGCTATTTCAGAACTGTACTCGTACTCGTGACTTCTTTAAGTGATCGAATCATATGTTTTGCCTATTACTCTCAATGGAATCAGTTTTGTCAGAATCTGGAATCTGTCAGAAAATTTAGACACGGTTTACAGCGAACACGCTCATAAAGAACAGTTACTGACAGATGTAACAAACCATGTTTCCTGGCCTGGCATAAGGTGCATAGTTTAGTCAAATTGCATATAATCAGCAATGGTTATAACGAACTGAAATTAACGGACCCTTCGAGTTCGTTATAACCGTAGTATATGTAAATGTAATGGTCAAAGCAGGACACAGAAACCGTTCCCACTAAGATGCAACGTGCATATCATCCTGTAACCGAAATAATGTTGCAACATTCTGGACAGTCTTACCAGTTCGTCCATGGCGATGTTCAGGCCCGACACCTCGGTTCGTGTCCGGTTGAAGGCGGCTGATACTTGATGACGATAACTCATGGGAGCCTAGTTCACGTTCTTCTCACCAATCTCAAGACAGGCCAGAAGATCCAGGATGTGACCCACAGCAGGCTGAATACGACTAATGACATTAATTTCTAATCCTAAAAGACTCCATTTCCTTTTAACAAAATTCCGCAAAGCCAATTGGATTGCTCAATGACTTCCGCTTGTATATAGGTGTCATTCGTTACCAACATTTGGCCGCGCAATTGTCTTTTGGCGATAAAACCCCCATAATTTCATTCATATTGTATACATTTTCCCTACCAAGTAGTAATTGCTCACACTTAGGAAATATAAACTTGTCAGAAAAATAATGTTATGTTTTAGAATGATTTACAAAGGAATTACTTCATGTATCCATGCAATACAATATTTTATTAGGAATTGGTTCTAAATTATTGGTTTTAATCG